CAGTGATGGCGAACCTTTTGAGCTCGGCGTGTCAGCATTTTGAAAAACCCTAACTTAACTCTGGTGCCGTGTCACATATAGAAATTTTTTGATCTTTGCAACCATAGTAAAACAAAGACTTATATTTTTGATATTTATTTTATATATTTAAATGCCATTTAACAAAGAAAAATTAACCAAAAAAATGAGTTCGCGTGTCACCTCTGACACGCGTGTCATAGGTTCGCCATCACTGCTTTAAACTGTCCGTTGGAGTACATACTTCCCCACACTTGAGTTTTTCTTTTCACCTATTTTAATATATTTTCATATACAAGGGTGGGCAAAAGTAGGTTTATATTTGTAATAAAAATAAATAATGCAATAATTAATCAATAGTAATACGAGAATAAACTGTGCTTCGTCTATTCATAACTGTGAGTGGTTATCACACCGGGCAGTTCTGAAAAAAAGTAATTACCAGATGTAATTACACACACACAATGGAATACTACTCAGCCATAAAAAATGAAATATTGCCATTTATGACAAACATAAATGGATCTTGAAAGTATTATGCTAAGTAAAATAAGTCGTACAGAAAAGGACAAAAAAAGTATGATTTTGCTCATATGTGGAATATAAAACAAGTAGCAAATAAAAGTCAGATACAGACAACAGAATGGTAGCTACCAGAAGGTAAAGGAGGTCAAATAAATAAACAGAAGGAGACTAGACTTTGGGTGGAGAGCACACAATAGAGTACATAGATATAGAACTATGTAATCTTACATACCTGAAAATTATATAATGTTATTAACCAATGTTACCAATACCTTTTAAATATGTGTAAAATTATTTTAAAAGAAGCAATTACCTACATGTGAAATGTATTCTTATATTGTATTATTACCATCCCCACCTCAATGAAGTACATGATACCCATTTATAACCATAAAAAAAAGTACAGTACCCATATAACTATTGTGTATGGCAGCACCAAAATAATTATCATTTTAATTATTAAAGTTATAAAGCAAACAATTATCTAAAATATATTAACATAAAAAGCTCTCACTATATGGAATATTTCAAAATCCCAATTAACTTTCTACAAAGATTATTCTAAAGGCTAGAAATACAATGGAACAGACTAAGTAATTTCACAGGAAAGGCAGGGGTGGGGGTGGGAGTGATTAACTAAGGAAATTATATGCATATATGCATAGCCCATAGCATAGACTATAGAGTGGTGAAGGCCTAGGAGGGGCAGAGGAGATCGATGGGAAAAAAACAAAGTTGTTTCTTTCAAGCAAAGTTAGAGAGAACATGCATAATTTATAACTGTGAAAAATGTCAGTGTGCAACTTGCTGGAAATAATAAAGTTCTGCTCAAAAACTAAATCTATTCAAACATGAAAAATGAAAAAGCTTTAACTTAAAAAGTGGTAGGACCCTCAGTTTAGTACTATGTAAAAATATATATACAAACCCAAATCTTATGTTATCATTGTTTAAATATCTCTCATTCATAGAACAAGGAAATTGTAGTACAAAAACCGGGCAATATTTTTTTCCACTTATGTCTTTGGATATGGTATATACCAACCTTTCTTTGGAAGTCCCCGTCCTTTCCCAGATCTGGATCGCCTATCTAGCAACCTTCCCTTTGGACTGGTTGGTACAGTTACTCCACTTCTAATGGCTTCGCTTCCATTATCACTAACTGAATCGCCTCTGCCAGAGTCCCGGGATGAGTTTTTCCGTAGGCGCCTTTTTGCCTTGGCATTAATTTTAGCTTCATTAATGGAGGATGCTGAAATCCAATTTCCATTTATCTCATTCTTTATATCCTCAGTCCCAGCATTTTCTTCATCGCCAGAAAACAGAGAGTCACTTAAGTTATCAGGATCTTAAAGAGGAAAATGAAGAAAGGTAAGTATTTTAACCATCTACTGTTATACTAATTATAGTCATAACTTAGGTTGAATCACATGAAATTACCACCTTTGTAGGTCACTCATGGTCACATATTGGCAATTTCTTATGGTTCAATCTAAATGACAACTAACTAGGATTACTTTTCACACTATCAAAAGTAAACTAAGGCATTGAATACAAAATGAACAAAGTTTACTAAAAGCATGCTATCTCATGTTATACCATCTATCTTAATATAAACACCAAATATAAAACCTTTAGACTTTGGTGAGATAAGAGAGCTAAGCAGTTGAAGATATAACACTAAGGATCTTGGAAGAAAGATAAAACAGAATGCCTAATATTATTTATCAGGCACTGTGTTGACACTGTCATTTACCCACAAGTGTGAGATCTATTTACTACATCATTTATACAGTTAAGGAAACTAAGGCTAAAATTATTTAAATAACTTGCCAAACATCTCATGATTGATTATAGATACTTAGGAAATATTACTAATCTGGCAAATATGTGATCACATATGATTATTGAGTTGAACTGTTCATTGCTTTCAAAGATAAAGCTTGCTTTCAAAGCCATCATTTAAAGTCCTAATTCATCTCTCCAAACTTGACCCCTATTACTTAGCCAT